TAACGCATGATAACAGCTCTATAGAAGCCCTCTGAGGAAGATGCCATTATTATCCCCATTTTACAGATGAGGAAACTGAGGCACAGAAGGGTTAAGTAGCCTACACAGGGCCATGGAGCTAGCAGGAGGCAGAGCCGAGTTTCAAGCCAAGCGGTATGGCTGCAGGACTGATCTCTTGCTCACCACCCTCCACCATTACACCAATGACGGCTACTCTGAGTCCTCCTCCTCCCTGGGGAAAAGTGCACAGCACCTGCCAACAGGGAGCCTTGCCACCCGGCTGGAGGGCCTACGGCTTGGGCCGGGCCCCTGGCCTGGCGTTTGGGGCAGCCGCAGAGAGGAGTGTTGCAGGCTGGAGTGGAGAGTCACCCCTGCCTCTCCTTCCCTCACACAGGGCGACCCTGGAAAGGCCTTCCCTCCCGCACTCACGGCCCCGCTCCAGGGTGGCCCCATCCTGCCCAGCCCGGCCCCCGAGGGAGGAAGGCTCCTCTTGGATTTCCCAGTCGGCCTCAGGCAAACCAACACAGAGAACCCAGGCAAGCCACCCCCTTAAATCACATGGAGTTGAAGAAAGGGGTCTGTAGCCAGTGGTATCTGGGACCTGAACTCTTCCAACCCTCAGGCTCTTCTCTCTCCAGGTTTCTGGCTCTCTGCAGTGACTTCCAGAAGCCAATCCACTCTGGCCCTTGGGGCACCTGGGACCTTTCCCCATCATTACTCACCCTGCTGCGTGTTGGACTGTCCCTGGAGGTCCAGGAGGAGGGGGCATGTAATTCAGCTGGCCTGGACGAGCACAGGGCCCAGCATGCAACGAGCACTCAACAGTGAACATGCTTATTGCGTTAACAGAGGAACACGGAGAGCGTAGGTTTTTACTTCCTGTTTCCAGGTAATTCTCTGCCTCATTTGCTCTGAAGTCGCACAGGACCAAAGATAGGAAGTGGGCCTGTGTGCTGTCTGGACACCAGCAGACCTCATCCTCTTTGTGATTCTCTTTTTCCAATGAAGATTGGAACAAAATTTCATTCTAGACGTTTCCTCTGCTGAGAGGTTGTGACTCTGGGGGCGGGTAGGGAGGGGCAGTTGGGAAGCGCAGACTCCCTGTGGGTAAGTTGCTTTATTTCCAGGTTACATCCATTAGCTCTGAGGAGTTCATGAGAGCAACCGGAGAGGGCCCATTGCTCCTTGTGAGGAGGGGGGGGGTGGCGGCAGGAAAGCAGTGTTCCCTCTGGGGCCCCAGCTTCCAAGGCTGCTGCTATCCACCCCCCACCCCACCCCTGCCCTGTCCACTTCCCGAAGAGTCATGGGGCCACTTTGATAGAAGGAAGGGAGAAGGAGAGAGCGGAGGAGGGAAGGAGGGAGGACAGAAGAGGAGGAGAAAGAGAGAAGAAGAGAAAGAAAAGTGGGGGGAAGAAAGAAGAAGGAAGGAGGAAGGGGAGGGAGAAGGGGGGGGAGAAAGGGACAGAGGAAAGAACCAGCAAAGAAGCCCTTTGTGACAGAAGTCAACTCCCTGGAGACGATCTCAAGGGGATGTTGCCTGTCAAGTAATTTCAAGGAAATGACATGTCAACGCCCAGCAAATGAGGCTTTCCTCCCACTTCCTGCCATCCACCTCCATTTCTCTTTTCAACCTCTCTCCTCCCACCCTTGGTTCCTCCCTCTGGAAAGCTGGGTCCCTCTCGTACTCCCTTCTGCCCTCCTCCAGGGTCAGCTGAGTGCTGCCCTCTTGATGATGCTACATTAGGAAATCATCGAGACCAAAATCTTGGATTGTTTCAAATTCCTCTATGCCTCCCCAGTGACCCAGCTGCGGACATGACTCCCCTGGAAGTCAGTGAGGAGAATGGCAGCAAATCTGACCAGGGAGAGCACAGGGGACCCAGAGCTGGTTCACTCCAGGCCTCACTCCTGAAGCCCCGACCCCGGACTGCACCGATTCATGCATTACTCCGGAGGAAGTGCCTTTGCCTGTCTGGGCCTTCATTTGTTCATTTAAGGCAATATGGGATGGACATGCTTCTAGTTCTGTGGTTCTAACACTCCCTGCCCATGGCTGGGCACAGGCAGGCCTACACTGGTGTGAACAGCTAAGTAGCTGTGTGCACATGGAAACAGCCTGCTGGATTAGCCCTGAGATCCAACGAGGCCCTGCCTGCCCGAGGTGTCCCAGACAGACGGCAAGAGTATTGGCCCAGTGCAGGAAAGAGCACAGAGAGATGCAGCCCAGAGAAGCCCATCAGGCACACCATAAGCTCTTCCAGCCTTGATTTCCCCGTGTCGGGTGGTAAAGCACATCTGGAGTCAAGCAGATTCACAGCCCCTCCTTTTAAGGTAACAGACATGAGACAGCTGGGAGTCCCACTGTGGCATCCTGGGGATCCAGGGCCCTGCCCGACCCTCTGCAGCTCTGTGCAGACAGAGCTTCCCAGCATCCCACAGCCCAAGATTCCAAAATGTTCTTTCATAACTAAGCATTTGTTCCGTGCTGTCGGCTGCCCTAGAGACCTCCATATGTCGCCCATTTGACCTTACAACCGTTCCTTGGGGAAAAGGCTTGCCAATGGTCATTGCACAAACGAGGAAAGAAGGGCTCAGAAGAATTCAGGGTTTTGTCTAAAGTTACACCGCAAGTGAGTGGCAGAGCTGGGACTGAACTCTGACACTGGGACTCCCAAGTCCACTGTGCCACTGCTGTGTCATTGCTTACGGCCCCTGGGAATGGACAGACGATGACAATAACAAGAGCAACTATAGTAACAGGACTCACTCCCTTCAGGCCCCACGGAAACACTTGCGCGGTCCGTCCATTCAGTCCTCACCACTTTGGTAGGAAAAGGAAATCAATGTCTAAGTGGCAGAGTCAGGGTTCAAACCGGGGTATGCAAACGATTTCAGTTGAGGGAGAACAGGGACCCAAGCTTTGTGTCCCTGGGGGAGGACAGCTGCCTTCCGGAGAGCCCGAGGCAGGGTTGGGTGGTAAAGGAGGGAGCGGGTACAATTTGACTTCCTTTCAACAAGCCAAGAGGTTTAGCTCCTCACATTATTTCCTCTAACCTCTTATCAGTCCTAAGCACTATTGTGTTGTATGGGGGTTTTTCTTTGTACAGGGACACTTGACAAAGCACGCCTAGGGGAAGTAAATCCTTAACCTCCTTCCTCTGGCTGGGCTCTGTCTCTTACCTTCCTTCTTCAAGGCTCTGAGGACCCATCGCAGGCCCACACTCCTTAGCTCTGACTGCTCACAAGCCCGTGAAAGCAGGTACATGTGGGCATGTCCATCATCATATCCTCCCCAGGGGTGGGCAGCACACAGGAGCCGCATAGTGCGTATCTGTCAAATGAATGAATTGTTCTCTAATGGCCTCATTTGACTCAATCACGGTTAACTGGGTACCTATGATGTGTTAGGCACTGTTGTTCTGAGGTAAGTGAGCAAAGGACCAGGCTGAAGGAAGCCTCAGTGAGAGTGGGCGCCCAATAAAATGACCAGTACCCCCATAGATACTTCTCGGAATAAGGTGGAGAATGAATGAATAACAACTTATCAGGGCCACCATGAAGGAAAGAGCCAAGTCTGGTGGGAATACAGAAATAGGAACCATTGGTCGGCCTGGGGAGTCAAAGAAGGCTTTGCTGGCAGAGGATGTGGTATTATTTCAGGCTTGAACGATGAGGAGTTTGCCTTAAAGATAAAGGGGGAGAGGAACATTCCAAGCAGAAGGAGCAGTGTGAGCAAGGGCATGAGGATGTAAAATTATTGCTTGGGGTTGGAGCAAGCGACAAAAGATGCCCCTTTGGGACCAGGCCACATATCACGTATTTCCCAGGGGGTGAGGGTGGGTGGCCTCCTAGAGGGACTGAAACATTGAATCATAATGAATTCAAGAAAGAAAGCAAGCCTGAGGTTGGCATTATAATTAATAGGCTCATCCTATTAGGCTTCATTCAGATTCGCTCTCAGGGCGAGACAAGGTGTGATTCAGCATCTCTGGAAATGCATTTCCAAAAGCATCAGCGGAAATCTAGGGCCCAGGTGCCAATCACCCCAGATTTGGGAGGTCAGGAAGGAGCGCTCGGGTATCAGCCAGCATCTACATCACTGGCAGTTCAAGTGCCCAGAGTGTCTCCCGGCACAGAGCAGAGCGTCCCGGCTCTGTGCCACGGGACCCAGTCCCTCCCCTCCGGGCCAGGTAGCTGACCTCCCCGCCTGTACCCTGCCCCGGGAATGAGAGAGCCGAGGCTGGGCGGGCCGCCTGGGAAGAAGGGGGCTGCTGCAAAGCGCTGACTCCAGCGCCACCAGGTGCTGCAGCGCGCGCCGCCCGGGGAGGCCCCAGGCTCCAGTGTTTGCCCCTGCTCTCAGCCCATTTCCTGCTCAGATTTGGGAATTTTCAGGCCTGGAGGGAAAGTCCCTCGAGAGGAATATTAGAGAGAGAGAGAGAGAGCGCGCGAGAGCACCGGATCTGCCTGGAGAGCGCGGAAGGAAAGAAAAGGCTCGGTGCGAAGCGGGCGCGCGGTAGGGCGGGAGGCGGTGGAGCCCGCGTTACTCTGCTGAGGGCTCCGGAGCTGAGCGCAGAAAACAGGGCGACCGGGAGGACTACGGGGAAGACCAGCCCCAGGGGCGGGGGAGGGGAGGCGGATCAGTGGGGCTCTGGAGTGTGTCTGTGTCTGGGTTCTGTGGCAGTGCGCGCGCGCGGGTGCGCGCGCGGGTGTGTGTGTGTGTGTGTGTGTGTGCGCGCGTCTGTGTGTTTGGCGCCTGTCCAAGGTGATTTCCCATAAACCACATGCCCCACAAGTCCGCTTAAAAGGCTGTGCCGAGGAGCTGGCCAGTGGAGCCCGGCTGGTGGAAAGTGAAAGTTGCCTGGGTGCTCTCGGCGCCGCCGCCCGCTCTCCGCACCCCCGGGACGGCAGCGCGGCCCTCGGCCGGGGCGCGGGCTCTGCGGCGGCCAGCGAGCGAGCGAGCGAGGGCGGCCGACGCGCCCGGCCGGGACCCAGCTGCCCGTATGACCTCGCGGGGCGCCGCCGGGCGCTGCCCTCCCACGGTAAGCGGCGGCCGCGGGGCGGCGGGGGGCCGGCAGGGCTGCGGCGGGAGCAGGCGGCGCGGCGCGGCTCCTCGGAACCGACTGCCCGCGCGCGCCGGCCGGCGACGCTCCCCCGCGGAGACCGCGGGCTCCGGTGTCCTTCCCATCTTTGCATGCCGGCTGCCCGAGGTCCCGGGCGCGCCCCGGCTGAGCCCAGTGGCGCCCTGCAGCTGCTCCCGGGGCTGCGGTACTTCCTGGAAAGGGAGGCTGCTCACTCCCGTTGCGCGGAGGCGCACACTGAGCCACCCGCTGGCGGGAGAGAAGGGTTCGCAGCCTCGGGCAGAGGCTCTGGACCAGCTCCGTGTGAGCCCCTGCCTCTCTCCTCTGACCCGACTCAGCCAAGAGACAGGCGCAGTGGCTGTGCGCCGAGTGTGGCGCCTTCCCCGTGGGCACCTTCCCCGTGGGCCACACACGTGCTTCCAGGCCCTGCTGGGGAGTGGACGCTTCTGGGTGGGGGAAGTTCAGGGGTCATCCAGCTTACAGAATGCCAGGGCCTGTGCCCAGGAACCTGCTGGCAGAAGGAAGGAGTCAGGCAAGCCTCTACTTGTTCCAGAGGCCGGCACGAGCTACTGGGGGCTTGGGTGGCTGGATCAAGTCTGTTTTGCAGGGGACGGGACTCCAGAGCTTCCTGGGACTAGTTCTGAATCTTTTTATTGCAAAATCTGGTTCAGTCAGCTGGGGAGATCCTGGGCTTAGCAGAGGAAGATGGAAGGAGGGTTTGCTGGTGCAGAATCCTAGGTGCGCTATGGGCTGCTCAGGCCTGCATGGGGGGGGGTGTCTGGACCCAAGAGCCAGCACTAGCTGGGGCAGCTCCTAGAAAGCGCAGGGCGGCACTGTCAATGAACAGTAGAGTGGTCTCCCAGAGGTTTACTTCCGAGGAGCCCTAGATGAGAATGGGAGGAGAAACCTGGCTGGGAGAGAAGCAGACAGATATTTGGAGGGGAATGAAGGGGATTGCAGGTGGGGTTGAGAAGGAAGGGGAAGAGCAGATGGATCCACACGGGAGGAAGGGCCCAACTGAGAGAGAGGAGGCAGGGCTGGGAGGGGAAATGGTGGAGGGGGAGCTGATAGGCAACAAGACAAAGATAAAGTCTGGAGGGAGACCACGAGGAAAGCAAAGGTGGAGAGGGCAGGGGGCTGGTTTTAGACAGGAGCAGCAGGAGGTCTGGTCCCACTGGTCCCGCCGAGGCCCCTCCAGGGCCCTTGCTGAGGAGGAGGAAGGGACAGGTGAGGCTGGACGGTGTGGGACTGAGGGATGTCTGTGGGCCTGCCGCAGAGGTGCCTTCGTGGCCGTCCCAGAGGCTGAGGCTGAGGGTGGGAGGAAGAATGGAGGGGAAGAAGAGCCAGCCCAGCCACAGGCGAGCTGAACCGGAGTGTTAACCCTTGGGTGCCCACCCAGCTCCTTCTCTGAGGCAAAACTGGGACCCCAGGGGTAGGGGTGGGGATCCACCTTCAAAGTCAGCTTCCCACGTGGTGGCTGCACTTTCCCCACACCAGTGCCTGAAATAGCTCTGAAAGCCAGGCAGCCCTTGGGGTGAAGCTGTCCTCAGACATCAATATCCTGAAGAGCCTGTGGCAAGGTTGTCTTCTTGAGTATCCCCTTTCCCACGGGCTCTTTCCTCCATACTGTCCGAAACTGGGGGGCTCAGAGCCTCAGGGGCAGCTGGCCTGGGACAGAGACACACCTTCTGCCTGGCCCCGTTTCCAGTGGGTCCTGAAACTGAAGGTTTGGGAGGACCTGGGCAGCCATTCCCACCCAGGGCTACCTCTTCAACTGCCCAGCAGAGTCCGAAGTCCCCCCCATGACTGTCCTCCCTCTTTTCCACTCTCCCTCCCCCGGATCAGGCCAGGACCCTCACCAGATCCCTTTACTGAATGGCATTGGGCCACCCCGTGCCTCCTCCCTCCAGGCCTCCCCTTCCCTCTCTCTGCCATCAACTTCTCCCCATTTCTCAAAGCCTCACTGAGGCCTCTTCTGCTTGTGCCCTCCCTGGTAGCACAGCCAGGGACTCTCTTCCCTGGTAGGAGCTAACAAACATTTGGGGCTTATAGTTATATGTAAATCAGCATGTTGTCGTAGGCCGTAGGCTGTTTCGTAGCCTCCTTGTTTTTCCAATGTGCTGTTTATTTGCAGTATTTGTCTCATCATCTGGATTACTGAGGCAGAGCCCAGAGCCCAGGAAAGAGCCAGCTCTCACCCCACCCTAACAGCATTCCCTGAATCTGGGGACATCAGCTGCCAGGAGGCAACCTTGAGCTGGGGGAAAGAAGTCTCAAGAGTCCCTCTGCCCCTGGCTGGAGAAGGGGAGACCTGGGCCAGGGAGAGGGTTGAGGAGACCTCGGTGAAGAGGAGGGGGAGAGGAAGGAAGGGGAATGATGGGATGTCAGGGGCCAGTCCCCTTGCTCTGAGGATGAACAGCTCCCAGGCCAGGTGGGAGCTGAAGGAGGGAGAGATCTCAGAAAACTTCCCGGTCATGATAAGAGCTGGCTGGCTGGATGCAGAGCCTGATGGGGCTCCAATAGGCTGGGATGGCCTAGAGCTGACACTCCTGCCTCTGATTAAGCCACTGGGCTCCTTTTGACACACAAACCCAGAGCTCCAAAAGATCTCCAGCATGGGATAATCTCCCAGTGAAACTGAGTTTGGGGCCTTGGTTTTTCCAGTAGCAGAGCCAGACCTGTGTGGAATCAGGTGGGAGGAAGGGCTGGGCCCAGGGAAAATGTCTCTGGCTTGGAGTCTGGAAGTGGGTGCATGAACATGAACTTGAGAGGAGCGGACAGCCCACAAGATGTCTGGCTCATGTTTGATGTTGCAGGGACACAACAATGAGCAGATGCAAGTCCTGCCCTCAAGGAGTTTCCTGTGTAAGTGAAATTGAGACTGGTAGGAACACTTCCCAGGTCCTTGTGAAAAGTTCAGAGTGTAGTCAGGCTTGGCTTCGTTAATCTGGGAAGGCTTCTTGGAGGAGATGACATGTGGGTAGTTATCAAGGGAGAGCAAGACTGTGCATGCCAGTTAGGAAATCCTGAGAAAGCTGGATTTGGGGAACGCAGCATCCCGCGGCAAGGGGCAGAACCTGGAGCATTATAGGTATGAGGTTGTTGTTTCTCCCCTCCTGGCAGGGCATGGGGGTTCCTAGGGAGACGGAGAGCTAGAAGTAATTGACGCCCTCTCTATCACAGACATGGCTGCAGGCCCTGCTACTGCTGGTCTGGCTCCTGGCGAGCAGGAGTATTACCGGGGAGGTGTCAGAACACTGTAGCCACATGATCGGGAACGGACACCTGCAGTTCCTCCAGCAGCTGGTGAGTGTGCGGCCGTGCTTATCTACCTTCTCCCCACTGGGGAAACTGAGGCAGGAGCCAGGGAACAGGGTCAAAGGCAAAGGCTGCAGGCAGAGAAATGTGGCTGTGCAGGCCATGGTTCGTGGCTCCACGGATTCTCTCCTTCTTGATCTTCTCGGGCTCAGGACCTCTGACCCACACCCAACCCCGAAGCCCTCTGTGACTCCGCCACAGCCAGTAGACAGGGTGGGCTTCCAGCAGGTTGCCTGGGTTAATGATTGCCTGGAAGATTAACTGTGGACTCGGAGGAGGCTGGTGAGGCCTGCCCTCCCTCAGTGAGATGCTGCCTCCAGGGAGCCAGCCCAGCCTGCCTGCTGTGTCCAGATGTTGCCTCTAACTCCTGGGCTCCCAGATATGCCGCCAGCCTGGCACCAGGGCCACCGCCAGATCTGGATGGGAGGCTCCTGCCTCACTCCCATCCCTCCACCCTCCCTTTCCTGGCTCTTGCCTGAGCCCTGGGGCTGGGAAGGACTGCTCACCCAGGCTGCCATGAAGGAGCCCGTGCCTTATTCTAATCGGGCTGCCAGAGAGGTCAACAATTCCAAATGTGGTTCAGCCAGGCAGAATCAGGTTACCATCGTGGCCGCGGTCCTGCTCAGAAGAGAATTTACCATCCCTCTGGCCAGCCAGGCAGGGTGGAGCACCACTGGCTAAGGCCAGCTCCAGGGCCCTGAGCTTGGGGCCTGTAGGCTGGGCCTGCTGCCTCTCTTACCTCTACACTTTTCCTCTTGCATGTAGCTGCTGCAGCTGTCCCAGCTAGACCAAGAGCCACAGCATTCTTCGAGGCTTAGAATGCTCTGGGGGCCAGGGAGGGCTTTAAGGACATCTAGCCCCAGCCCCTATAGATCCTGAATCCCCAGAGCTTGTCTAGCTTATGCTTGAATTCCTGCCACGATGGGGAGCTCACTACCTGTCATGGAAGATTATGCCCTGTATCCTCTTAGAGAGTTCTTCCTTATAACTAACGGCTCTTTGTCAGATTTCATGGAGTGGGGGGCAGAAGGAGGGGACTTCTTATTCTTCTACAACCCACCTGGGTTGGGTGGGCTGGGCATGTGGGAGGCACAAGTCTTTCCCTTGGCTCTGTCTTTCCTGGTATGGTTGGTGGGGACGTAGAGGAAGATCAAAACCTGATCCACCCAGAAACTCTAGTTTTCATTCTTAGGTGGGCTCAGCTGAGCTGCAGACACCCGGCCACCACTGACCTGCTCTCTCTTACAGATCGATAGTCAGATGGAGACTTCCTGCCAGATTGCTTTTGAGTTTGTAGACCAGGAGCAGTTGGTGAGTTATGGTTATTTACAAGGCCCATGTGCCGGCCCTCTATGTGCTTCCCAAGGTGGGTACATGTGGGAGCATGAAGGGAGGAGAAATCCTGTAACTGGGTAGGGTGAGGGTGGGAGGATCGCTGGTGCTCAATCCTGGGGTGCCAGGGTCCAGGGCTGAGCAGGGTCCTCGAGTCCCCTGCTGCTCCCTTCTCCTGGCCCTGGCACCTATCAAGGTCTTACTATGCGCAAGGTACTTTCGATTTAATCCTGATGGTACAGCTATGTGATAGGCTAATCTTGCTTATTGTTCTCAGGGAAGTTAAGGGAGCATGGCTACTAAGTGGTGGAGGCCTGATTTGAACCCAGGCAGGCTGGCTTTAAGGGCCTAAGGCAAACCAGTATGACTTCTGGGTCACATGGTTTGCTTAAGGATGACATGTCCATCCAACAGACAGTGAAGCAGCCAGGGAGTCGGTCCAGCCCTCTCCCTCTTCCTCTTACCCCACACCCAGCCAGCCACCAAGGGCTGCTGGTTCTGCCTCCCAGCAGCTCTGGGTTCTGCCCTAGCCTCTCCCAATCAGTTGCCTGGACAGTTTCAAGAGCCTCCTAAGAGGCCTCCCTGCTTCTAATGCAGCCATCATCCCGCCAGCAGGGGGAGCTCTCGGAACTCCAACCTATTACCTTCATTTCTCTCTCCCAAGCCTGTCAGGGCCCCCCTCACTGCAGGAGAAAGCCCAGGTTGGTTAGCTTGGGGTTTACACGGCACAGTCCTGCCCACCACCACCACCCTCCCACCCCGTTGCCTGCCCCTCCCGGCCTCCCAGCCTTTGCACAAGCTCTTCCTGTGCCTGTGATGCCTTTTCAGCTGCCCCCACCCCACCCCTTAGTCCCCATCTGTTCATTTTGTGCCCCATACAAAAATCTCTGTGATGTGCCTGGAAGTTGCTTCCATCTCTGCGCTTCTGCACACGTCTGTTAGAACTGGAGACCACCTCATGGCCCAAAGAATAGCTTCGGTATTTCACTCACTCACTCACACCTTAACAAGCGTAGCAAGTTTCCTTCACTAGGAAATGATAGGACTGGGTACTAGGAATAGCTAAAGCAGACTCTCCCTTGAGGCAACTGCCATCTCTCAGGGAGACAAAACACTGAGGTTATTCTTTGGACCCTTGGGTGGTCTTTAGTTCCCCTGTGGCCTGGAGGATTAGAAGGAGCCACGAGATAAAGGACTTTTTGTGAAAGCAAGCTACAAGAGAGACAGAGACAGAGAGCATTCCCCCAGAACCCACCCTACCCATGAGCTCCCATTCTAGTTAAAGCCTCATCTTCCAGAAATCTGAGGATGTCTCTGATCAGAACCCCGTGTCTTTCCCTCTACCCCAATTCCCAGCAGTTCCAGATCCCAGAGAGAGAGCATGAAAGAGCAGCTGGGGTCAGCGCCCCCCTTCTTACTGGAGTGGCACGGCCCTCCCCTCAGGGGCAGGCGTAGGGCAGGCTGCAGCCCTCCATCTGCCGGGGATGAGGGCACCTGTCACAGAGCCTGGGTTCCCAGACCACCTCAGCCAGACCATAAACTCCAGGTTCTCATTTTTCAGAAAGATCCCGTGTGCTACCTTAAGAAGGCATTTCTCCTGGTGCAAGACATAATGGAGGACACCATGCGCTTCAAAGACAATACTCCCAACGCCAATGTCATCGTGAAGCTCCAGGAACTGTCTCTGAGGCTTAAGAGCTGCTTCACCAAGGACTATGAAGAGCAGGACAAGGTAGGAGTGTTCTGGAGCTGGGAGCACGAAGTGAGAGCAGAGGGTGTCTTTGGCGGTCCCATGCCTGCCCATATGCACAGAGTGTGTTCCCATACCCCCCCTCCCCATGTCATTGTCATTGTGCGCTCACGCTCTCATTCACGGATTCACCCCGTGCACCTCTGCTAAGGACTTGCGAGGCAGGGGACAGTGCTAGGACTTGACGATGTCATCATGAGCAAGAAGCACATGGTTCCCACCTTTGCAGGGCTTCTGGTAAGGGGAGGCTGGCAACCATTAAGCAAAGAATGACACAAATAAATAGCATTACGAAGCGTGAGGACTATTCATTCATTCAACAAATAGTTCCTGAGTGCCTATTGGGTGCCAGGTACTGGTCTGGACGCTAGGAAACAGCTGGGATCAAACCAGACAAAAACCTTCACAGGCAAGGAGCTTACGTTTTGGGGGAGGGGCTGAGACAGTTAACAAAACATATGAGTAAAATATGGGGGAACGTAGGGTGGCAACGACCAGGCAAGGGAAGACCTGAAGGAGGTGAGGGAGGGAGCTGTGAGGGGACTCCCTGGGGCTCTGAGAGACAAAGGGCACTCTCACTTAAAAGGGGGTAGGGAAAAACGGAAGGAGAAGGCTCCCGAGTAAGAGAATATTCATTTGAGGTCCAAAGAGGAGTAAGAGTTAGGAAGCAGTGAGGCTGGTCAGAGAATTCCAGAACAGGGAAGGATACACACAAAGCCCTGAGGTGGGCTACGTGCACATTCAGGAGCCCAAAAGGTGGTCACCGGGGCCAAGGCGTGGAAGAGACGGAGAGAGGGGAGGAAGCAGGACCCAGGGGGTCCCGTGGGGGGCCTTAAAGACGTTGGGATGTTGTCTGAAGTGTGAGGGATGCCCTGGTGAACAGGTGAGTGACCCAGTCGGACTTATCTGTGAGGCGGGTTTGGTAGCCCTCTGGAGAGTGGACTGCAGGGGGCAGGAATGGAGGCTGGGAGGCCAGCAGGGGGCGCAAGTCGGGGCCGGAGTTACTAGAGTGCTGCAAGTGGACCAAGTGGCTCTGCTCCCAGGACCAGTTTGGAGGAAGGACCCACAGGATTTGGTGGGGCCGTGAGGGTGAGCAGCTGAGGAAAGGGAGGCCTCCAGGACGCTTTTGTCTGGAGCACATAGGAGTTCCGTGGGCTGCTGAACTTTTGAAATGGGGAAGAGCAGCAGGCAGAGCAGGCTCGGGGGAAGAGCAGGAGCTCAGTTTGGGGTACATGAACCCCATGTTGTGAAACAGCTGAGCGGAAATGCAGAGCAGGCAGCTGGACACACAGGTCTTGAGTTGGGCCGGCGAGACGCACACGTAAGAGGAAGCAGCAAGGATGTCACGTGTGAAGGCGGGACATGGTAGGACAGGGCCCTGGGACCCCAGCCTTCGGAAGCCAGGCAGACACAGGGACCTGATGAGGACACCGGGAAGGATCAGCCTGAGGGCCAGGAGGAAAGCGAGCGGACTGATTTCGCTGGGCCCGTGAGGAAGAGTGTCTCAAGATGGAAAGAGTAGTCACCTTCATCAACCGGGGTTGAGAAGTCAAGCAAGACGAGGGCAGAAGGGTGTCCGATGGGCCCGGCAGCGTGCAGCTGCTGCCCGAGGTGCGTGCTGATGGGGGTGAATGGAGAAGTGGAACCCGGCTCCACAAGGGCCCAGAAAAAGGGAGAGGTCACCAGAGGGAGTGTGGGATTGTGGGAGGAAGCATTTTTACCGAGGGGTATTAAAGCCGAGGGGTTCCACTGTTGAGGTTCACACGTATCCCGTGGGGAGCTTGTTTAAAAGCCAGCTTCCCAGGATACACCCCAAGAAAGTCTGATTCGCTGGGTCTGTGGGTGGGCCTGGGAATCTGCATTTTCACCAGCCTAGCTGCAGCATGGAAGCAGCAGGGGGGGACTTGACGAGGGAGGGAGCCTCGAGGCTAGAGGAGCCAGTCTGCTGAGGGGTTCAGAGCCCCTGAGGAGAGAAGGCACCGCCTCTGTGTCAGAGATGGGCAGTGGGACCTTCTGTCCGCTGGTTGCCGCCTTCTCTATGAAGTCTGAGGCGAGGCATGAAGGAGACGGAGGTTTGTGAAGAAAGACAAGAGAGCACCAGCGTCCCTCTTTCTGACAACAGCCCTGGTGGGGAGGCTGGAAGGGATGGTGGTTCTGACTTTACAGAAGAGGAAAGGAACCCAAACTGGGTAGTCCACTTGGCCAGTGTCACCTAGCTGGTGAGAGGTGCAGCTGAGCGCAGGTCTTCTCACGCCTACGTTCGTTCATTCATCCATCGAGTCGACATTTCTCCAGGGCCTACTCTGCACAGGCCGTGGGCATTCAGAGCTGGGTTCGAGGACCTCACAGCCTAGTAAAGCTTACGGTCCTTCCCTATGCAGCCCACTGTCAGGGAAAGCTCGGTATTTGGAAGTCATCAGCAGGTAGGCCACCAGGAGTGTGTGAAGCTTCTCAGAGCTCCAGTGGGTGTGGGGAGACTGGGTCCTATGAGCAGAAGAGAAAAGAACAGCTCGACAGGCAGGCCTGGGGGTAGCTTCAGCTCTCCTTCCGAGGCATACCAATGCCCCAGAAGGGCCCTAGGCTCCGTGGCCTGCTCCCCACCACTGCAGTATGATCCTTCTAAAACTTGAGTCTTATCGTGCCACCACCCACCTCCCTAACAACCCCTCAGATGTTTTGTCTTTACTCTGTCAATCAAGTTAATAGTTTTCGACATGGCCAACAAGGGCCTGCAGGACCTGGCCCTTGCTGACCTCTCTCAGTTGCCTCTCTTGTCACCTTCTTCCTAGATGGCACTACTGTAGCCACTCTAGCTGTCTTTCAGTCTTTTGACATTTCAGGCTCTTTCCTGCCTCAGGACCTTTGCACGGTCTGTTCCCGCCACCCAGACAGCTCTCTCCAACCCCACCTCCTTTCCTGGTTGACTCTTGATCATCTTTCCATTGGTTCCATGGGGAAATTCCCCATGAGCCCTCGTTTAGTTCCCCGTTGTTATACATTCTCAGATCATTCCACACTTCTCCATGTGACTCACTGCACTCATAACAGTATGTTTAAGGCCAGTGCCTTGCTGGACTCAGTGTCCAGCTCAGCCAGCGACCATGTCTCTGGTGTTAGTTGCATGATTCCCACGTAATTGCCTGGCACACAGATATCTGTTAAATAGATCTGCGAATAAATGGCGTATCTCAAGATCTCAGGACTGATTCCACCACAGACCAGGGGCGAGGGGAGGGAGAAAATGAAAAAGAAGACAGATGTGAGAAAGGCCAGGGGAGTTTGGCAAACAAGCTAGAGACATGGACCAATGCTCCTCCTCACCAAGGGGGGCCCCCCTGCTCTCTTTCCAGGCCTGTGTCCGAACTTTCTATGAGACACCCCTGCAGTTGCTGGAAAAGATCAAGAATGTCTTTAATGAAACAAAGAATCTCCTGAAAAAGGACTGGAACGTTTTCAGCAAGAACTGCAACAACAGCTTCGCTAAGTGCTCCAGCCAAGGTAAGCACCGAAAGGGCCAGGGAGTGCAGGACCAGGGGAGGATGTAGGGAACAGAGCGGGGATTGGCAGGTGAGATGTGGGGCCGGACGGAGGCCAGAGGGACCCTGGGGAGGCAGCCTGACTGCTACTCATGCCCCTGTGTGTGCAGATGTGCTTTTCTCGTGTACATATGTGGCTTCATGGACCTCTGGGCGGTCCTGGGCACATGTCTTTTCTGACATGTGTGTGCATGCACACCAAATGTGTCTGCATGTGGAGGCATCAAGAAGGATCATGCTGGTGGCTGTGAGATTAGGGAAGGGGAAAGGGGCCCCTCTCGGAGAGTTCTGTAGGCATGGAGGCTTTCCCCACTGGCTCTGCAGGCTGGCTGAACGTACAGGGGGTTCCGTGGAGAAAGCGAGGCTCCATCTGGGAGCCAGGGCCCTTGTGCCAGGAGCCCTGCTGTGAACCACCAGGATACCCTGGCTCCAGAAGTCCCCAGGATGCCTTAAGTGTCCCCTCAAGGGAAAAGGCTGGATTTGAAGTCTGAGCATCGTTCAAAAGCTTCCCGTGCAGGCCCAGCCGCACACACGCGTGCCCCGCGTGTCCTCGTCTCTGCGTCCCATGCCACGTGTGCCCTCCCGCACCCAACCTTGCTCCCCGAGGCAGGGGCTGAGGCCCCGTGACCTGCCAATGGCCAAGTCCAGTCTCGTTGCTTCCGTCCCAAGGCCTCAAGTCTTGGCCACGTTCCAGCCCCAGCTTGTTCCCGCCCGTGGTTGTGGCTGTGTGGCCCCTGGCTATGCATGAAACCACCTCACTGCTTTCCAGCCGACACTGTCTATGGGACTTGAGGGTGACTTGTGTTAGTCCGGGAGGCCACCGCTCCACCTCCTGGCTAGCTGCTGCTCAACCCTGGCTTGGCACCTGGCCAGCTGGAACTCCAGGAAAGGCTGTCCCCTGGTCTTCCCTGCCCCCGGCCCCCCAGCCTGTGCCTCTAAACCCCACTCTTTGCTCTCTGCCTGGCTCTGGTCCTGTCCTCTCCTCAGCCCCAGCGCTGAATTAGGGGGTGAGGGACCCCCGGACCCATATCCCTCTCTCCACCTCTTCCCCCCCCCCCCCCCCCCGGGAAAGCTGTGCCGGAGGCTGGTGACTCTATCTCTTCCCCGTCTTTCTCTCTCCCTCTCTCTGTGGTTCTTTCAGATGTGGTGACCAAGCCTGATTGCAACTGCCTGTACCCCAAAGCCACCCCTAGCAGTGACCTGGCCTCTGTCTCCCCTCAGCAGCCCCCTGCCCCCTCCATGGCCCCTATGGCCGGCTTGACCTGGGCTGACTCTGAGGGGACAGAGGGCAGCTCCCTCTTGCCCAGTGAGCAGCCTCCCCGCCCAGTGGACCTGGACCCGGGAAGTGCCAAGCAGCGATCACCCAGGAGCACCTGCCCGAGCTTTGAATCTCTGGAGCCGCCAGGTGTGGAGGCCGGCCCCAGCGGAGATTCACGTCAGCCCCGGCCCTCTGTCGGGGGTCCCGTCCCTGGGATGGAGGACATTCTTGACTCTGCGTTGGGCACCAACTGGACCCTGGAAGAGGCCTCTGGAGAGGCTAGTGAGGGTCCCGTACCCCAAGGGGCAGAGCTGGGAGGAGGCAGAGTCCAGGCCGAGACGACTGCCAGGCCCAGTGGCCGCCTGTCAGCACCTTCTCCACTGCCCTACGCAGCCAGAGGCCAGCAGCCGGACGACACGCCTGGCACACCCCTGCCCACGGTGGACCCTGCACGACCCGCTGGCCAGGCCCAGAGTCACACCCTTGAGAAGACAGACCGTCCATCTGCCCTGTCCAGAGACCACCAGGAGCCGAGCTTGGCCAGGACCCCGCCGCGGCCCCCACGAGGCCTCAGCAGTCCCTCGGCCCTCTCTGCACAGCCAAAGCTTCCCAGAAGGCACTCCTGGGGCTATGTGCTGCCCCTCGGGGAGTTGGAGGGCAGAAGGAGCACCAGGGATCGAAGGAGCCTCACAGAGCTGGAAGGAAGAGGAGCAAGTGAGGGGGCGGCCGGGGTCCCGGCCCCTTTTAACTCCGTTCCTTTGACTGACACAGGCCATGAGAGGCAGCAGGAGGGACCCCCTGACCCTCAGCTCCCCGGGTTTACCTTCCACCTGCTGGTGCCCGGCATCATCCTGGTCCTGCTGGCCGTCGGAGGTCTCCTGTTCTACAGGCGGAGACGGCGGGTAAGGAGAGCCCCCGAGAGAAGGAGGGCAGCCCATGGGGCCAGGGGCACAGCCTGGGTACAGGAGCGGGTCAAGCAGGTTGGAGGATTATTGGGCGCTGCCTGGGTTCTTCCGACACCAAGGCGGGGGCCCAACTGAACACAGAAGATAGGAGGCTAAAAGGGAGGGTTTCTTCAAAAAGGTGGGAGACCCAGGCATATAAGGTGAACGGGAAGGGACCGGGAGAGAATATTCTTGGACCGAGAGTGGGAAGAGAACCCACAGGTGAGGGGAGCTAGCTGAGGAGAGTGCTGCTGTGTCGGGTGTCAGGGCAGGGCGTTCACTGGGAGTTCTGTGGAGCCTGGGCCCATAGGAAGCAGCCTGCATGGGGAGAGGAGAAGGGGCGTCCCCAGCAGGGAGGCCTCAGGACGCTCTCCTGGACCGGCGGCTCATCCCCACGTCTGGGGGGCTGGGGGAGACTTTGATAACTCTCTCATCTACTCCCCTGGCCAGCTGCCTGGGGGTGAGGCCACAGTCCCCACGCCGTTCCCCAGCTCCTCAGTGAACCTGCTCTTTACTGTCTGTCCCCAGAGCCGTCGAGAGCCTCAGACAGTGGATTCTCCCACGGAGCAACCAGAGAGCAGGTGAGAGTTGCCAGGGGGTAGGGTTGCTCTGGAAGGCACGGGGGTGGGGGGTGGGGGGGTGGTAATGGCTGTCTTGGCGTCTGTCTCCCTTCTAGATCTGGGGGAGATTTTCTTTCATTTGCTCTGAGGAAGTGGAGCTCAGAACAGGCTGGGAGGCGGAGAGGAGAGAGGGTGTTTCTTCTTTCCTGGCTATCTGGGATTCTTCCTGATTTCCTCCTCGGGTTAGGCGGTTCTGGGTCTTCTGAATCTGAGAGGGCTGGAGCACATGCATGGGACGGTTGGGGGACAAACTTAAGGGGTTCCCTCACTCCTCAGCCTCTGCTGAAGTCTTATGCCAGCCCTATGCTCTGCCTGCAGCCCCCTGACCCAGGATGAGGACAGAGAGGTGGAACTGCCAGTGTAGAGGGGTTTCTAAGGTAAGACTCTGATTTGGATCTCTCTCCACCCCTTAAAATGAGCTACCCCCTTTTCTAATCCCCCGACCTTGGTGATACCACCAACTCCCCTGAGGCCGGCCCACACTTGACTTCCTCTCCCCCCCACTCCCTTTTCCATCCAACACCAGATCCTGCCTACTGTCTCCTTTCGGGATCCTCAGGTCTCCCCCCACCCCGTTTCCCACCCCCCCCACCTCAGTCTGAGGCCAGGCACTATTACCCGTGCATCGGGTTATTATTTCTGTATTCGGTTTCTAGTCTTGCTGCCACCTTCCATTCCAGAGCTACCAAAATCTTGCATAAAGTCTTCACCCTCCTGGGGAATTTGCATCACCAACCACTGCAAGCCCAAACCTTTCTCAGCTGGGCTCCCAGGCTCCTCCAGCAGCTGGCCCTAACACCCACCTCTTGCCAGCTTTCTATTGGTCTGCACCCCATCTGACCCTTCTCCCCAGCCAAGATCATTTCTACGTCCCTGCTTTGAGATCCATGGATCCATAGAACCTTAGTCTTGGAAAGGCTCTTGGAGGTCATTTGGCCAGCGTCCCACCCTATAGGGGTCTCCCCTCTCTGCATTCCCGACAGGGCATCGGCCAGCTGCTGAGCCCGTACTCCCAGTCCCAGGCAAGCTCCCTGTCATCTCCCAGGAGCGCTGTGAGGAGGCCCTTCCTCCAGGGAACTTCCCTGTCCCCTCCGCGATGATCCTCCCTCCTTTTCTCATGAGAGCCGTCCGGTGTCTCAAGTCAGTTATCCATATCCCCTTTAAGAATTCTCTAAACTAAGTGTGGCCAAGTCCCTCAAACATTCTTTATATGATATGGTTTTCAGACCCCTTACCATCCTGGTCGCCCTCCTTTGGACACACTCGTTTGTCAATGTCCCTCTGCAAATGGGGCATGCAGCCCTGAACACAGTGCTCCAGATGTTGTCTACCAGCTCAAAGTACAGGGGGACTGTTACCTTCCTTGATCTGGACCGTATTCTTCTACTCGTGCAGATCCAGATTGCATTAGTGGGGTTTTTGTTTGTTTGTTTGTTTGTTTGCTTGTTTGTTTGTTTAACAGCTGCATCGTACTGTTGTCATACGTTGAGCTTGTTGTCTATTAAAACCCCGAATTCCATTTCCCATAAACCTCTGTCAAGCCAGGCCTTCTTTCCCGTACGTGGACAACTTCGTTTTTTAACCTGGGTGCAGGAGTTTACATGTGTCCTTGTTAAAACCACCTTGTTGGTTTCTGTCCATCACCTGAACCAGTGGAAATTGTTTTAAACCCTCATTCTGTCTTCCTAGCCCTCCCAAGTGTGTTCCCTGCACGTTGAGGAGTGCCTTCTGTTGTTCTCACCCACGTTGTTGATAAAGATGTAACCCTTATCGTTCCTCAGCCCTGGCTCCCTGATTCCAGGCAGCAGCCCCCACCTCCGGTTCTTCCAGATTGACTCCACCACCCGCTGCTTGCTCTTCAGTTCCTACCCCTCAGCCCTTTTGTAATTGGTTAATGCTATATCATTTGCACTTATTCGGATGTTGCTTTTATCCATTTTCATACCTTCTTCTATGTGTATATGTACGTTCCACATCCCTAAGAAGGCTGTAGGCCCCTTGAGGGCAGGGACGGTGTCTTCCACTTTTTTGGGCATTTTTTTCCTGTCCCATGTTCTCATACCGAGAGGGCTTCTCCATACTTGCCAAAAACTCAATAAATGTGGCCTGATTGGCTTAAGAGTTGACTGACCACCTGAGCATGGCCAGCCGTCTCTAACCGACCAGCTTTCTGGGTGACCCGTTAGCCAGCTAACTAATTGACTCTGACTGACTGGCTGACCAGCTGGCTAGGTGACTCTGACTGACCAACCGACTAGCTGGTAACTGCTTAACTGGCTGCTTGATTGGTGGTGAGCTGACTGGGCAACTGACTAGCTAGCTATCTACGGGCCTGATTTGCTGACTGGCTGGCTGGCCGACCAGCTGGGGTAACCCATTCGAGCTTCCAGTCACACCCCGTGCCAAAAGCAAGTGAGTGCCTTAGGACCTTCCCATGTGTACAGTGACAGGTCTGGGCCACTCCTTGACAGAAAAGGGACCTAAGAAGCGCTCAGAATCAGGGGAGCCTATTGAGAAAAGAGCATGAAGCAACACACCTGGAGCCCTGGGGTCCCCCTTGTTGGTGGGGTGAGCTAAGATGGGTGAGCGGATCAGATGGGACACAGGCAGGGCTGTGAGGGTGGCCCAGACCCCCTCAGGACTGGTAAAGCAGAGGAGGGACCGAGGTCCTGGGTCCTTCGTGGCTCAGGGCTGCTCCACCGTCTGACTGGCTGCCGACCTTGCCCCCTGGTCTTGGCCCTCTGTCCCATCTCCTCTCCGCTCCTCTGCTTTCCCTGCCTGCCTGTTCTTAGGTCCTGACAACCTTTCCTCTTCCTCCCCTCAAGATTTCACTTAGAGAGGGAGCCCAGGGCAGGGGTCACAGCCGGACCCTGCTTGGATCAGTAGGTCCAGCCCAGGCCCCAGGAGCCGCAGGAGATTCAGGGCCAGCCCCTAGAGTATCTACCACTCTGACAAGAAAGAGGAAAAACACAGAGGCAGAGAGACTGATAGAGGGACTCTCGGAAAGAAACCACAGACCCCAGCCCCCCACTACAAGGAATGAGGACATAGGGGCGGTGGAGCTCGCCCACTTGGTCCTTCTTCCCCCCTCGCCCCAGCAGGGCCTGTGGCCCAGCTGTACCCAGCATGGCTCATGTCCAGTTTATGGTTCTCCCTTCTTGCCTCTCCAGAGCATGGGAATGGGCTGCGAGCCAGAAGCTGTGGTCCCGTCTGCCCCTCCTTGTCCAGCATGGACTTTGCCAGTAGGGCCTATGGATGGTCAGGGAGGGAAGCTCCACACAGGATTCAAAGTCAAACTGTTGGACGGAGTCCAGGGGATTTCTGTTCTGGGAACAAAGCGTTCCGAGGATGCTGGGCAAGGGGCTAGGATGGGGGTGGGGTTGGAGAGAGCAGCGCCCTGACTCCCATGGATGACGCTCGGAGGCAAGTCCCTTGGCCCACCGGGAAGAAGGCTGGGCTGCTCAGCGGTTAGCACGCCAAGTGGCAGGATGGAAGTTTCCTTGTTCCGGAACTGCCTCTGGTTCTTCCTCTTCATTACCTATGACCTGCTGTCCAGAGTATCATGCGTGATGACCCTCTGTGATGAATGGTGTAGGGGTGGGAATAAGAAATTCTTCTTTGCTAGAGTTAGCAGGAATCACCCTTGGCTCGTTGGCCCCAGGCCAGTGAGACTTTCTTACCTGAGGAGGGGTCTAAGGACACTCAAGTGCCCCCTTGCCTCCCTGTCGGACTCCGCCACTCGAGCAGTGGCCAACCCTCTCTCCCAGGCCTGCTTAGGCCTCTACCAGGCCCCTTTACCTCCCCCTGCGGTCCCTAGTTCCCCAGGAGGAGGTAGGAGGTGAGGCCAGTCTGGCCAGAGGCTTGGGCCACTGCCAGGAACAGCCGCCTGGTCCCTTGCGGTGTCTGGGGTGGCTGGGAAGGCAAGGGACAGGACGGGAGGAAGTCCTGTTTGCAGCACCACCACCAGCCCACAGGAACGCTATGCCTCCCCCACCCATGTCCTCAGCGACCCCTCCGTCCACTCCCACTCGGCTGACCAGTCCTTCTTTCTCTCCCCTACAGCTGGGCACGCAGGACAGTCTCTCCACGGGAGGAGACATGATGGGAGCGTCCACCACCACCCCTTCCCAGCTGTTCTCTTGGGAATGTGACCTGCCTACCGCAAGAGCTCCTGCCTGCCAGGACCAGAGCAGAGCAGCGAGGCTGGGGTTCCCCTGCCCTTGACCCTCAGACTCTGGACTGACTAGGAGAGGGCTGGAGGATGCCCGCCCCCCCCACGCTGCTGATATTTATCGTGGGCCCTGGAGGCTCCCATCCACTGGAGGAAGGCTGGGAAGCCCGGCTGAGGACCTTCTGCGCCTCAGGGGCTGTGCCCTCCTCCCACTCCCCTCCAAGCCACACCTGGGCCAGGGACCCGGATGCCCGCAGGATGTGGGAAGGGCACTGAGGAATGGAAGAACCCTTGTGCCCAGAGGACCGCCTGGTGCCAAGGGAACCCAACACCGACAAGCAGGGACTTGTCTCCGGAGAGAGAAGCATGAGATCGGCAGGGCGGGCCAGCGTCCCGGCTGGATTTCCCATAAAGGTGTGCAGCCCAGAAGCCGGGAAGAGAAGGCCCCCGGGGCCTGCCGGGTCCCTGCTGACAGCCTGGAGGGGGCCTACACCCTCTCCGCTTGCCCAAGTGCCCTCTGCTGGTGGCCAGGCGGAGAGGGGAGGGTCAGCCCTGCCCTCGGGACCTGTCTGGCTTGGCTCTGATGCCAAGCGGGAGAGCCAGCTCTGGCGTCTGCCCCACCTTCCCTCCAGCTCTGCCAGCGCTTCTCCGGGAGGCCGCGCAGAGGCTCCCCTCCTGAAGGAAGCCATTGCACTGTGAATACTGAACCTGCCTGCTGAACAGCCCGCCCCGTCCATCCCAGTGAGCGAACGTCTGTGCATCGTCCCGCCCCGCCAGCCTCTCGCCAGCGCCAGCGCCCTGCGCCGAGGGCCCAAGCTGGCCTTGCCTGTCAACTGAGGGAGCCCCTAAGCCCTGACCTTCTGCTGACCCAGGCTTCGACTCCCCAGGGCAGATGGGGTGGGAAAAGCACCTGGGCCTCCAGCCGGAGCTGGTCTTTAGGCTGCATTGTCGTTGTTCGCAGGTTTCTGCATCTTGCACTTTGACATTCCCAAGAGGGAAGTGACTAGCGGGAGGGAGGGCGGGGAGGGCAGAGGCAGACCCAGAGGGAGGCTGCAGGGCAAGCTCCCACTGAAACTGGGTCTTTGCAATTATGGGTAGGCCGCCGCGGTTGGGAGAGGGCGTCTGCACCCCGACCCCACAGCCTGGTCTCCTTCCCCATACCAGGCCCCGGCCCCATCACAGCAGCAAGCCTGTGCTGGCCTCGCAGCACCCCACCCAGCTCCCGAATCTTCTTTCCACCCTCTCTCTTCCCCCGCCCGGCGAGGCAGCGATCCCCCCAGCGCTTGCCCCTCCACTATCTCTCTGACCAGGCCAGCCGGGGTAGGAGAGGGACCAGGCATCCACCTGCAAGTCTGCCTTGAGGGCCTCAGCTTCCTGGGCCAGCCCGTGGCCACTGCTCTGAGAGCTGACAGTAGGCTTCGGGTCGTTGATGGCCCGCCTTGGTCCCTTTGTGCTGCCAGTGCCCCTCCTCTCCTGCTGCCCTGGGCCGCCCACCGAGAGATTTCCCCCCACTTCCTGGCCGCTGGGCTGGGCCATGGACTTTTCTTCCTGCCCTCAAAAGTGGGGGGGGTCTCCTGCCCCCCATCCCCGCCCCTGCCCTGCTGCTCTCAGCTGAAGGAAAGGCAGCGGGGAACTTGTCCTGTGGGGCTCCTTCTAGTCACAGACTCTATATTTGATGCTAGAAAATATGTATTTAAAAGTGAAAGGGGGGAAAAAAATACCCCACAGAAAAAAGGCATTCCTCCCCCACCCCAAACGTATAGTATTTTAAAAGCCCAGAAAGCAAATCCAACCCATTGCAGAAGCTCTTTGTGGGCGCTTGGTGACACAGGTGTGGGAGCGCCCCCAGACCTCTGGGAGGCTCCCCCGGCTACCTGCACAGGAATCCCTTCGTTGAGGGAACTGAGAGGGAACGTTGGCTCACACACTGTGAGATTTTGTTTTTATACTTGGAAGTGGTGAATTATTTTATATAAAGTCATTTAAATATCTATTTAAAAAATAGGAAGCTGCTTATATATTTAATAATAAAAGAAGTGCACAAGCTGCCACGTGTGAGTCATGGGAAAAGTGCTTTTGGGGTGTGGGGGGCAAAAATGGGGGTGGGCGGGCAGCAGCTGCTGGGTGAGCCCCAGCTCAGAAAGCTTTTTCCAAGACGCATGGGGAAGGAGGGTTCTCTCCAAGCTCCAGGCTCGTTACCAAAACCTCCTGCATCATTGCTGTCCCGAACACATTCATTGGCATATCTGTTTTAATGGGAAAGTAGACAGAAACCAGCCAAACCTCAGGCCTGGCCAGTGGCCCCTGCTCCAGCCCAGCCTCGCCCAGCCTGGGAAAATGGCTGGTTGGGCTCTGTCCAAGGGCCCCAGGCCTGCAAGGACCAGGCTCCTTGACCCCGACCGCTGCGGTCCCCTGTTGTCTGGGGGCAGGTGGCTGCGTGGGAGCAGGGCTCAGGTGGATCAGTGCTGCCTCTGCTGGGGACTGGGTGAGGCTGACAGGGGGAGAGTCAGCAGGTCTTTTTTAAGACCCTTTGTGAAGGGTCTTAGGGCCTGAACCTCCCACTGGGCATTGTGGCCTGGAGGGGCAGGACGGGTGTTCGGGAAGGCCAGGGAGACCGAAGGCCCGGCACAGCCCAAACACCTGCCCTAAGTAGCCCAGTGAAACAAGGGCCTCCCCACCCATGAGAGTGTGGTGGACAGGGCGAGAAGCAGGAGAGATGTATCGTCTGACGTGGGGACTATTTAAGTTTAAATGAATTAAAACGAAATAAAAGTAAACATCCAGTTCTTCAGTCGCGCTAGCAACATTCCGATGGCTCACTAGCCATACATGTGGCTACCATGTTGGAGGGCACAGAAACAGAACATTCGCGCCATTGCGGAAATCTTATTGGACCGAGCTGACTAAAAAGTTTGGGTCCTTGCACTTAGGGGGCCAAGGTTATAGGGTCAGGACTGGCCCTAAACAAACTTGGCCAGGGATTAAGTCCCAGGTACCTCTGTCATCCCTCTTTGTACCCTTAACCCCCCACTACCATCCTATTTCTTCATTTCCCTTGAACATTTCCCATCATTCGTGAAAAGCCCCTCAGAAAAGATTTTTTGAAAAAACTTATCTGTAGTTTTTCCTTCGAGGTCCACCTTAAAAGTCACCTCCTCTGAGAAGCCTTCCCAGCCTGACACAGGTCCCTGAGGCCCACCCAGGCTTAGTGCCTTCTTCCTCTGTTCTCCCACAGACTGAGAGCCTGTTAATTTGTCTGTCTGTCCCACTGGGCCATGAACTGTAGCAGGAACTGTTTTGCAACCCTCCTTGCGTCCCAGTGCCTAAGAGTACCCGGCATACAGTTAAGTGTTCAATAAATGCGTGTCAAAAGGTTAACACTGAATGAGCAAACGAAGGCATAACAATGCAATTTTTTTTTTAAAGATTTTTATTTATTTATTTGAGAGACAGAGTGAGAGAGCGAAAGAGCACATGAGAGGGGGGAGGGTCAGAGGGAGAAGCGGACCCCCTACTGAGCAGGGAGCCCGATGCGGGGACTCGATCCAGGGACTCCAGGATCATGACCTGAGCCGAAGGCAGTCGCTTAACCAACTGAGCCACCCAGGCGCCCAACAATGCAAATTTTGACCAGAGTTTGTGGGTATCCTTTTCTAGGTATTACTCGGTATTAACCCATAGAATGTATATTGAATAACTATACTCATTCATAAGCCAAGCAGAAGAGGGACATTCAGTGGAAGGTTCTCCCTGGCTTCTGATGGGAGATGAGGTTAGGTTAGAACCCTAACTAATCACTGGGCTATGGATGGAACGGATACTTCAAGGATTGATGAAAAAACCAACCAAACAAGAAAAAACACCCCTGCCCCTCACCTGCCTTTCCAGAAGCCCCAGGAGGCATCCAGAAAGAAAGGCCAGAGACTCTCAGCAGACCTTTCCTGGGTTCCCCAGGTTGCAAGTGGCTGCTTGAGGAGTGTCGTAACTACAGAACAATAGTTACTTTGGATTCAGAGCAAGAGAACGTACGTAGTTGGCTTGGATCTCTTACTGCCCAGTGGTGTGGATTTGGGGGAGTATGTATCCTCCCCGAACCTCAGATTTCTCCTCATCCTTAGAACTGGTTTCAGGATACAAGCCAGGTCTACCTGGTCTGAGAGGACACACCGGAAAGGACCATGTGGACTCCAAAGGGCTGCCCCCAAATAAAGCAGGCTCTGCTGCTGCCCTTGCCAAGTGGTCCCAGGGGGCCCGGGCTAAACACAGCTCCCTTCTGGGCAGGCACCAGGGAGCAGGGAGGCTGCCACCGCCTGATTCATCTCAGCTGAAGGTGGCAGAGCTGGGTGTTTCCCGACTGGGTGAGGCTTCAGATGCCTTGTAGCTCAGGGACTTCTGAGCTGAGGCAGGAGGCAGGTAGGAGACCCAGGGGAAAGTAGCCCTGGGAGGCAGTGGGTGCCCGTTGGAGGCAGGGTCAGGAACTCTGTCTTCGAGTATGCCAGCAGAAGGGCCTGGCCAAACCCCAAACCATTATCCGGCCAGAGACAGGAAAGTGAATCAGAGACGACAAGGAAGAAGCCTGAGGTTAACCTCGTGCAGACTGCGGGCCCTGGTAAGGAAGGGGCTGGTGGGGGCCCGGGGTCTGGCTGGGCATCTGATGACCCCTTGAACAAGGTGCTAAAGTGATTAAGGCATGGGCAGTGCCCAGGTCAGTTGCTGGGCAGCCAAGGGGAAAAAGCCCACTTTCCCCTACTCCAGTAAAGTGCCCTTCTGCCAGAACAGCCCATTTGCCCCCTGGTTTCCCACTTCAGTTTCTGGGAAAGGGGGATGACCAGGCTCTGCTGGCCTGGATACTGGGACTGCTGAGGGAATAAGGTGGACCACGCTGGCCGGGAAAGCCCCGAGACAAAGTGACTGACCCACAGAGAGGCCCACTCTGAGGCCTGCAGGGGCTGTGGCTACCATGGCCGTCCCTGGTCTGAGACCACAGGAAGGCCCACAAGTTGACCCCCATGACCCTGTCTGGAGTCCACACTGATGCAGCTCTGGGACTGGGGGGCAGTGGGGCAGGAGAGGTTACAGATGGGGGAGGTGGAGGAGGCTGGGTCAAGGGAGTTGTCCA